TAGGTATGGGTAAGCAGGTGGTGATATCTAGTTCGTGGAACTAACGTTAATAGAAATTTTAAAAATCTTATTAATTTACTATCTTTCTAACTGCTTTATAATATTGACTACCTTAACTTTTATAATGTCTTTCATACAGCTTATCCTGTCAATACGAATAGCTAAAAAAAGCAATATTTGGTTAAGTTTTTGATTATGAAAGACCCTTTATTTCAGGTTTAAACAGAATATCCTTTTTTTTACATACATATTTTTAGTTTTTGAAGTGTCGGGACTCAGCTCCAATTTTAGTTATCCAAATGATTATTCAAGTTATTGCAATTGCTTGATTGCCTTTTACGGTAACATTCATTTATATACTCTGCATCAATACTGATATATTGATTTGATTATTTGACAGTTTTCCATTAAATGTGATGCAGTCAAATATGTTCATCAAACAAGATATCAAACAACGAGAAAAGTTAGCATAAAAACTGCCTTAACACTAAAATAGCTTCTGTTTCATTATTTATTGTTTGGCTGCTATTCTCTGCACTGTGGTCATCGCAGGGATCAAATCTAGAATTTTAGCGCTATTAGCTTTCAAGCTAACAGCAGAGCCACCTGGCAGGATTGAATATTAATACCAAAAAATGCTCCTGAATAAATAGCAAGGTAATAAAAGATCAGATGTTTTTTAAGAATACTGATACTTTAGTAGTGCATAAAAGCAACTCATAAAACACGCCCCCTACAAAATACCGAAAAGTAGAAAAAATATGAAAGCGGATAATCGCGTCTGAAATAATGTCAAAAATAAAATATAATACGTGCTTCAGTTATAACAAGAAGTTTTGTAAAATGATGACAAGCAGACATGCAAACAGACGGATAAACAAAACAAAAATCATTTTTGCGGATACAAAAAAATAATTATTTTCATCTAGTTAAACACGTTTTTGGGCTAAGCCGTTTTATTTCTGCACGCTTGTTTAGTTTGCACGTTCAGCTTGAAATTTAATTACACAATGAACTGTTTTGCCAGAGTACAGTCAATTTTTCTTCCGCTGTTAAAAACGTCTGCTCAGGAGTAAACTAAGTGTTTTGATCAAAACTAAAATTAACTAATTGCTTAACGAAACCAATTCTACACAAGAAGCGTACAAGTAGCACGACCTAGCAATTGAACTGTCAGTTCATGCATAAAATTACAAAATGAACACGAAATGTTTTCGGTAACCCCCACTGAAAAAAGCATCAATCTTCCTTATAAAGTTAGACTAATGGATCCATCAAAAAATATATAAATTGTGACAAACATAACGAATAAAATTACATTAGGCTTAACTGTTTTAAGAATATTTCGAGATTACTTTTTGTGGGGGAATTCTTTTTTTCACACAAACCATGATATATTAATTACATCTATTTACAATTTCATTTTCATTTCTACTATAGTTGTAATATAATTTTGGGCTACCTAGCAAACCCAACTTCTTCAACTTTCTGGGCATCTATACTGGTAAACATGTTATTTCGAAACTGAATAAGCAAATGAAATGAGGCAACTGCCTGCAGTTGTAGATAAGCTTAATTAACCGTTATGTTTCACTTGCGAGAAAGGACGATTCATTTATCTTGCTTTGTATGCTACTCTCGTTGTTAGTTTCTCCTAGCTACCTCTATTATGTGGGTGTGTGTGTGGGAGGGGGGGGGGGGGTTGGGCCACAGAAATTTACTCTTAGAGATTAGTTTGTGTCCAAAGTTACACTCCTCAGGATACGACAAATATGCATAAATATTCGTTTCGGCTCCTTAGAACTTTTAAAAGTGAAAGGGTTTTGTGTCTTTGAGAAAAAGAAAAAATTTTTTTTTCCTCCTGATTCTAAGCATTAGAGTTATGTTGCCTTGTAGGGAAACTGAAACAGTCATGTTAGACTTTAAAATTCCGGAACTGTGAAATACAACAATAATGTTTAACTATGATAGTTACAATGGTAATGTTCTAATACAGATCTTTCTTTCTTCAGTTCAGTAATGACCAATTGGAAATTATATATCTTCACCTTATTGTTTTAAGGATTCTAATATGCACCTACAAAATACTTCATTAATAAAGTAGCTGATAAAATTGACCAATAGGCTTAGCTTATACATTACACTATAATTAGAACACGTTATGTGCATTATAACGTTTAGTGTGTAAAAAGAACCTAAAACATGTGATAGTTCAGAACACCATTCTGATTTTTAGTTGGTACAGCAAATATTTTGTGATGAACCGGACTATGTACTAAATTAAATAATAACACTCGAAAGTTTTTCTCAATGCAAACTAGTCCTCCCTGTTTTTACTTTTCTACAGTCAAATAATGTTTCACAGTGTCAGAGTTATCTTTATTCAAAATAAAACTGATTGCTTTGGTGGAGGTCAGGAATATCGGCAAGTAATCTGTGACACTGATACCTGTATAATAGCCTGTAAAAGGTTTAAGCCATCAGTGGGGTTCTGAGCATTTAAAAACACAATAAACGCCATAAGTAATATCCTTGAATCCTGTATAATAAGCTGTAAACTGTTTAAACCATTAGGGGATTCTGAGCATTTTATTACACAGTAAGTGCAACAAGTAATATTCTTGAATTTATATTGTCATAAAACTGTAAATTAACATTATTTTACCCATCAGGAATTTGAACATACTGTGAGAAAAATCATTTAGAAAACAAACATATTTAAAAAAGTAAAAATTTAGAAGCATTACAAACATAATTGGTGTAACCTATCCAATACGAATTTCAAAGTCTTTCAAATATGGTATTTCAAAAATAGTTTGTTTGTTTGTAATTAAGCACAAAGCTACACAATGGGTTATCTGTTTCCTCCGCCCACCATGGGTATCGAAACACAGTTTTTAGTGTTATAAGTTCTCAGACTTACCACTGTGCCACTGGGGGGGGGGGCTTAAAAAAGAGACAAAATCTTTAAAAAATATCAATTTAAAAATATTACAAACAAAACTGATGTAACCTACACATATCGAGTTCCGTTAGACATTGTAATTTAAAAAGAGAAAATATATTACGAAATAACCACTTGAAAGAGTTACAAAATTTATTTGGTCTACGTTCGAAAAGAAAAAAACTACAACTTTATCAGTAATAACTGAA